GTCCTAGAGGTCGGCCTCGAGGTTGTCCTAGAAGCCATCCTTGAGGTCGTCCGAGAAATTGTCCTCTAGGCGTTGTCCTAGAGGTTGTCCTAGGCGCCGTCTTCGAGCTTGTCCTAGAAGTCGTCCTCGAGGTCGTCGTAGAAGTAGTCCTTGAGGTCGTCTGAGGAATCGTCCTAGGCGTTGTCCTCTAGGCATCACCCACGAGGTCATCCTAGAAGTCGTCTTTGAGATCACCCTCGAGGTTGTCCTATAGGTCGTCCTAGACGTCGTCCTCGAGGTCGTCCTAGAAGTTGTCCTTGAGGTCGTCCTAGACGTCGTCCTCTAGGCATCGTCCTCGAGGTCGTCTTAGAAGTCATCCTTGAGGTCATCCTTGAGGTTGCCCTAAACGTCGTCCTCTAGGATTCATACTGAAGGTTCACGTGAAGTGAATGGGCTTTACAGTTTTTCTCTCAGATTTCGGGGAAATCTTTTTAGGTTTGGGCTATGCACAGATAGAAACAAAATATTTTTGGATGTGCATAAAAAAATGGACATACTTGCAATCGCACTCGACAGTCTAGAGCGCCTTTATTTCGGTCTCGGTCATAGCCTGCGGTATCTTCGGCACTCGAGTCTGACCGGCGTCAACGGCTGCCAGAGTTTCTCTCTTGAGCCATCCAGTAGGCGCCTTTTTGGGGTTTGCGTTAGGCATTTATTTTGTGAAACTTTACCCGACGTCCGTTTCGATGTTGACATCAAGCAGTTGCGAGGTACCGGCGAGCTTGTCTCGGACTGTGCACTTTGTCCAGCACTGTATGCAGATCTTGCCGACACCGTATTCGCGAACTGTTGCGCGTCTGCCGTACTGCAGGGCACAAGTAACAATTTGAAACTACCATTTGCCCACTGCTCTCAGGTCGTGGGGCCCGCATAAACCAACTCAGCAGAACCAAACATTCACAAAGCCTGACAGCGATGTTCAGGAACCCGAGCGTCCGATTTCACGGTGGCCATTGTAATATGGGCTGAAGGCAACCGTGGATGATACGAAAACCATAAAAATGACAGCTTTCCAAAGCTTTAGTCCCCTATTCTTTCACATCTGCACTTCTAAACACAGCGAAAAGCGCGAAAGGGGTAAAGGTGGCAGAGACGCGGAGCGTGCTCCACAATCTGAAAGCAGTTGGCTTGCCTCGGAAAAAGGGGGGGTGCAACTAACGCGCAAATAACTTCCAAAAATTAAAAGAGATATCGTTGGGTTGCGGCCCACACATGCAATCTTATGGTAACAGCAGACAATAGTTCACTGTTGATGAAAGAACGATTAACCATTGTAAGCATGGATGTGGAAGTCCCGCTAATAAGTATTGCAACCATTATAATGGCCCACATTAGAGATCTCTAATTTTTACTCAGAATTTTTCATTTTGTCTTTTTACAGTAGACTGCCCATAACTATAAGTTCATGAGGACAGTGAAACATTTAAAAATAAGCAATCAGTGAAATAAAAAAGAAGTACAGTATGGAAGCCACACTTTCTTTTGCTCTTTAGTATCTGCTTATGGGAGAGATGCCATATTTTTGCACGTTTTCTTTAAACGGTAAACTCGCTCTGCATCATTTGGCACATCTGCGCTCAGTCTCTTCGCAACTAACACAAATGATCCAGAGGCACAGCCCAATTATAATGCCGATTAGCAAAAGTATGCAACAATACCGATTCAAAATGTCGAACGCAATGACGCAAGTGCTTGCTTTCCAGCATGCCACTGCTCAAAGTTTTAGCTATTCTGCATAGAATATTGTACATGAAATCGCTGGGGCCGCAGCCAATACTTTCAACTAAACAAGAATTTAAAAAAAAAAAAGAATGAATTTTTTAGATAATTTTTGAGTGTAGACAATGGGTTATCAAACCGAGTTCCTAGGAATACAGGTGTTCAGAGGTTCCTCGAGTTAATTCCTCTACTATTCCTGTTTTTAAGTAAAGAGTTTTTCCTATTAAAGTAACAGTTTTACAGTTTCTGTGTGCTTGGCACACAGAAACTGTGTGTCAAGCACTCCTTAATACTGTTTACCGCTTACTTGACCTTTAGGAATGTGTTAGTTAAGATAGGAATGCGGCAGTGGTGTAGCCAAGGGGGAGCCTTATAGGGCTTCAGACCCCACCTTCTCCGCAATTCAGCCGACTCTATAATATTGTCACGAATGACAAGTGATGAGGCGACGAAAACTGAACTAAACTAAACATTTAAAGCGCGAAACACATGTACGACGAAACCGTCCGATCCGACGTCCGACCACGCAATACTATGGTCGGAGGCGAGGGTTTTCAACGCTCTGCGATGCTACGATAACCCTCGCCCCCCAAGGTCATTCCGGCAGTCCGCACGTCGGATCGGAAGGTTTCGTCGTACATGTGTTTCGCGCTTAATGGGGCAAACTTCTGCCCAAAACCAAAAAGGAACAGAAGATAACAATAGAGCATCGCAGGCGTTGATGACGGCGTAACAGCAGGATCATTTGCTGCGGCGAGACTGACTGTGGCTCGCTACGCGGAGCCCCTTATGTACATGCGTGGGCTTCGGGAATAATCGGCGTAGAAGGTTCGACGCATGGAACATTCAAACCTCGAACAAGCAACGGGATTCTCGAATTTACCAGAACACTAAACTGCAGGAATAAATAAAAGATGCGTCGCTCCCAGGAATCGAATCCTGGCTTTTCGCGTGGGAGTCAGGCACAAGAACCGTTAGGCCACGCGCGTGTTGCCTACATGGCCAGCTGCGCGCGCGGCAATATACACATTCATTTTGACCTTCCCCCCCTCCGCACCCAAAGTCATAGATATCCCAGCCACCTCAGCCCCCCCCCCTGAAAAAAATTCCTGGATACGCCGGATATCTCCACCAGCAGCTAAAAATCCATTCAAGAGGAATTTTCTGGTCACATGACCAGCTTCATGAGGACGACGTAGCCATAGACGTTTGCAAGTCCGGCTTCAGGGCGGGCTTGCACCTGCTCTGTTGGGGTGCGCTGGGGCACGTCATGATCCGATTACAAAGCTTTGCTAAGGTGTCGTAATCGGATTATGTCTGTGCCAAAACGCACCCCACTGAGCAAGATGGCAGCGTCCTGAGACCGCACTTGCAAACTGTATAAAATGCTCCGCGTCAACTACCTTCCTGCTACATTGCCTAGCTTCTACAGTGCTGTAGCTCGACACTGCTGCGAAAGCATGTGGCTTTGTCTTTCGCACGCGCTCTCGCGCACAAGAGATGCCAAGCAAAGCGACGCACCCACGCAAGTATAACTGTGACAGCGTTAGAGCACTTTGGAAGCTGCACCAGCCTTGACTATGCAGCGCAAAATACCGTATTTGCACGAATATAACGCGAGTTTTTTTCCGAAATTACGAGCTCCAAAACGCACCTCGCGTTATATTCGGAATCGAGTTCAACCACGAGGAGCGCGAGTCTGGAGAAAGCCAGAGGAGAAAGCCATCCCTCCGGCTCAATGCAAAATATCCGGTGTGAAAAGAAGTGGGGGTATGGAAGGGAATTTATTCGCTATTGGGCCATGTGAAGGGGCGATTAGAAAACATAAAAAAGCATTTTTATCGCTTTTGTGTTCGTACAACGCGCACACAACGCAGAAACTCGGCGCGTGCGCGCGTCATGCGGGCACTGGCCAATTCGAGCCAAGCCAGGCCAAGTCAAGCCAAGCCAAGGCCACCAACCGCGTTTACGCAATCGTGCAACACGAGGCATTTGTTTATGCAGAGGAACCAGAACAAGAAGTGTGATCGTGTATCGGATTCAGCAGTCTTTTTTTCTGCCTGCGCATTGTTTAGTTTCTGCTCCAGAGTGATCTAGTGTTTGTGTGTTGGTGCTTCTGCTTCCTGCCTTGTTTGGATTGTGGGCTGCCGAGGAGCTGGCAGGGAAGAAAAAGTAACTAACTACCAGACAAGCAGGTGCCGTGCTGCTGCTTATGTGCGTAGTCGCCAAGTGGATTGTAAACGGAAGGACCTGAGCAGTGAGGATGAGTGCTGTCAAAACATAAACTGATATTTCTTCATTTCCATTGACTTTTCCCATCTGCTATGCCCCCGAGTGCGAGAAATTGACGCGGCCTCGGTTCGCGTTATAATAGTAATAATTTTTTTTTTTCTTTTTGAGGGCATCAAAACCTGCCCTCGCGTTATATTCATGGTCGCGTTATATTCGTGCAAATACGGTAGTTGAAGGGGAAATGGTAGCCATAAGTCTCTGTCCTCACCTGAATTATTCGGGTCCGTTTTAGTGTGCAGGAAGACGATGAACAGGTTTGAGATGCAAGTGAAATTAACCACATTTCTCTACTTCAGGAGCGGCTTGTAAAGTTAATTCTGTAGAAGATCGCGTTGAGAGAGAATTAAAGAAAACAACGGGCAAGGCTTACGTCTGCTTTGCAGAATCGGCTGGATTGCTAGGCACGCCCTGGCCTCTGAGCTGGTCACGTGACCAAAAAATCCCTCTTGCGGGAATTTTAGCCTCCAGGAGAGGTAGCCGCTTTCACCGGCATACCGCCCCTGGCATAGAGGTCGGTCTACTTACGACAAACTATTGAAGCCAGAAGTGTATATTGGGTAGCAGAGAGAGGTTTCATATAAGTACAGTCGAATCTCATTAAATCATACTCGAGGGGGACCGAGCATTTGTTTGAATAAAGCAAAGTTTGAATTACCGGGAGTTTCCTCCCATAGAGACACATAGAATGGAATCGGCATGTTAGTTTGAATTATCCGCGCGTTTGAATTAGCGAGATATGACTGTAACTATATTTATTTTTTGTATGACCTCGCAATAATGAGTCCTCCTGTAAGCGAGAAGCCAATGCCACGAAGTAATTGCACACTGACCACGTTGCTTCTCATGAAATGGTGATTGTGAAAATTTATTGTGTCCATGGAGACGGTGCATCTAACCATAAAATGTTTTGTTTAAATCCCTGCTTTGTTTTTCGGCTTCGCTTTCCAAAGGAGCAAGTCATCACTGCACTGAACAGCCTCGGCTTCACGACCCTCATGTGCGGAGACGGCACAAACGACGTCGGCGCCTTGAAGCACGCTCACGTCGGTGAGTTCTTTCGAGCACATCTTTACTCGGGCCCCCGTAGCAGATCTGATGAGCTCGGAGATGCACATAATGGATTGTGAATGAGCTGGGCGCATACTGTGTGTTTGTAACGTCATTTGACGTCATAACAACACATGGTTTTGTGACATCGCGGTTTCACATGATGTGACAAATACTTTTCAACACTTGTAGTACAAGCCTAGTTTGCTTGAATTGCAAATCATGTTACAAGTGGCTAAGATGCTTTATTAAAATTGTGTCACAGTTGCTCCTAAGGGGATTCAAAGTGGTAATTTTTTATCCGGGATGTTTCAAAATGCAGTTTTTTCTGCTCCGAAAATTGCTCCAAAACCAGTTTTGGCTGTCCCACCCTCTTAAATGCTCTATTTTTGTTTACCCCTACTTCAAGAGCGAAATTATCTTTTGAACATTTGGAATGGAGTGCAGGCTCAAGCTACATGCCCTAAGCATCTTAGAAAACCTAAAGTTAGAACCATGCGTGGTTTTTTTCTATTAAAAACACAACCAAACACCACAAGTCCCTTTTTTCACCACCGAAAAGGGGCATAATGCAGTATTTGGTGTCATTTTTTAATAAAGAAAGAGGCTACACAAGGCCATAATTTTGGGTTTTCCTCAATACTTAGGGTGCAAAGACTGAGTTCGTACCACAAAGAAACAACTGAGAAACCTCGGAACTGTAGCAACATTTTTAGTTGGGTGAGTTGGTGTCTGTTATAAAGAAAACAAAATGGCACAAAAAGGCACAGTGACAAATAGAAGTAACACACCGATACAGCGCTGACTTCTATGTGTTTGTATTCTCGAGTAATCCTGTCCCCTTGGCTTTTTTGCATCATCTCGTTTCCCTCGTACCTCGGAGCGTGGCCCCAAAACACTCGTTTTGTCCGCAGGCGTGGCCCTGCTGGCCAACGCTCCGCACTCCGCGGGAGAGCGCAAACGTCGCAAGGAGAAGGCCGAGGAGCACGCCGCGACCAACGCGGAAGCAGACGGCACCGAGAACTCCACGGTGAGCAGGCTGGAAGCGATGGCCGCCAAGGGGCGCCTGGGGCGCAGGTCTGACGCCAAGCGGCCGGCCTCCAGGGCGGAAAAGGTGGCTGACGCTCAGGTACGCTGTCGCCCCCTCGGGTTTCCCCCCCCCTGCGTTCCCTCTCCATCTCCCACCGGGATTACTGGAACGCGTCTTTAAGGGGGAACACTGCTTCTAGAGCTTTTTTATATAACTTGCAATTCAATTCAAATGGAATATACATGGCCTATTTGACATTACAATCTGACTACAAATATGTACTTGGTTTTGATGTAACCTAATTAGTTTTATTAATATTGAAAATTTAATTTGCAAGGATTATGGAAATGATCAAGACACATTGAAATACAGTCGAACCTCGATATAACAAACTTCAATGTAACGAAATCCTGGATTTAACGAAGTATTTTATTTTTCATAATTTCTTGCCCATAGACCCCATGTATTTTTAGTCCCTATATAACGAAGTCTATTTTGCTGCTATTTCAATATAACGAACCGCCGTTGCCATAGAAGGCAATAAATAAATCAACTCTAAAAAACAACTTCGCAAAAAAATTGTGGTTAAAAAAAAAAAAAAAAAATTATGCGCAAACGCGAGCGCTTGATAGGTTACTTCACGGGGACAGGCCTTCCAACGTTCCTAGGCTGCCCGAGGATGCGGCGCCGGTAGCGCCGGCGAGGCATGCGGCAAAGCGGATTTCGCGAGGCTGGCCAGAAAATGCCGAGCAAAAAGTTAACACGGCATAACAGCATCACCACTGACATTCACTGATCATCAAAGTCCACTGTAGCGCGGGAGCCAACTTCAGCGGGGGAGCGACGTGCGACGTGATGGCGCGACCGCGCCAACCGCGCGACCGCACGGGCAGTGCCATCTAGGAGAAGACCGATTATCGTCTTGCGGGTGTGATGTAAAGCAAAGGCGCAAGCACACTGTGGGCGCAAAGGGGCAAGTAAACTGTGCGGGCAAGAATGCTGTGTCGGTTGGAAACATTGCCACCGCCTAAACTAAACAGCTCTATTTTTCAACTGGGCGGTTCACTCACGTGCTTGCTGCCATAAGGAAACGTAAAGTTCTTTCTTTGGATGAGAAAGCAAACGTTTTGGACGCCATCCTGAAGAAACTGCCGAGATCACGAGCACGCGGGAAGTGCTCGACGCAATGGACATACTGAGGAGGTACACGGCGTCGCATGGGCAGCAAGATGCCGTGCAAGCGCTCTGGGCGCTCGCGGACTACTTTGCCCCTAAATAAATGTCATTTTCGGTGAGTTTTCATACCCGTAAAATGTTTCGGAATTTTTTTTTTCCGCATGCTATAGCCAAATTTTGATTTAGCGAAATTTCAATTTAACGAAGTAAATTGCGAATTTTACCGACTTCGTTACATCGAGGTTCAGCTGTACTGAAATAAGAAAATAAACATATGGCAGTGAACTAAGTGGTATGTGGAATCCAATAACGTATAAATGAAAGCTCTAGGATGATTTATAAACTTTTTATGATACTTTTGAACTTTCCAGTTTCAAAATAATTTTTTTGCAGGACGCCTAAAAGGCGCCTAAGAAGGTCTGACAGCCTATTTTATATATTCGTACCCCTTATTGTATATGTCACGCATACAGCTAGCAGAGAAAGAAAAAGATACGAAAATCAGATATGGGCAAGTGGAGATATGGCTTCGTAAAATAGTAAAGGGTGTAAATAGTTCGCTCAGAAATAATATTTAAAAAAATCCACAGACCCCTTTTAATTTGTTTCCAAGACATACTTCAAGATAAGAGAGACTTGTTTAACGAAAACCCTTCAGGACAAGGTGATAAGTGCTTGCCAAACTTCAAAAGACACATTTTTAAAAATGTGTTCTTTTAGTAAAATTTTGCCTCAAAGAGCAGTGTCTCCCCTTAACCGGTGTGCTTAGCGTTCTACGCCGCCCATGCGTCGAAAACGATTCCGTTGGGGCAACGAATCACGTCGCGGGAGCAGGCGATTGGGTCGTCGGTTGTTGCGGTTGTCGCGGTCAGCCGTAAAGGTGCCGTGGAAACAAATCTGAGGGCATTTACGCTGTCACGTAATGTGGGTCGTGGCAACGGCAGCTCGGTGCTCGCGTAATTCGCCGTCATCACAGTGACGTCGTCGTTTCCGGGTCACCTTCCGGGCATCATTTTGAGTATTTTCGTGCCATTATGGCTTATGCTCTTGATTCCGCCCCCGTTCCTCGTCTGTACCTTGTCTACGACGGGCCTCCTCAATGCCGTCATCACCTCGGCGCCAACGTCGTCGAAGGACGACAGAAACGGAATGTAGACCACCTTTCATTCACTAAAATGTTTGCGATCGATAGCTTTGTTGTAAGAGCAGTTGGCTCCAGTGGAAACGATCGCCGTCATCTAGTGGTCGCCGGTTCGAATCCGGCTAGACGAAGAGAATTTTCGTTTTCCTACGAATTCGGAGGCGGTGGCACGTGCACTGCGGGGCTTCGGGTGCGGTGGCCGGGAGCGATCGTGTGACCGCCGTTGGCGCCGTTGCCACCAGGAGTTTCCGCAAAAAAGACACCTGTGCAATTTGCCCGTTGGGGGGGGTGTCCCCACCAACAACCGTCGCCGTAAAAGGCGGATGGGTTCGAGTGTCACCGTCGTAGTTGCGTCCGGACTTCCGGCCGCCGGAACTTTTGTGAGCCGTCGAACCGGAAGGCGGCGTGCGGCGGAACGGGCGCCACCTCCGCCGCTGTGATGCCGCCGGGATCGCGGTGTACGACGGCGTGACACTTCCATTACGTTGCTGGACGGAAATCGAGAGGCCATGTTCAAGGATGTCGTGATATAATCGTACGAGTTTGAGACGCATTTCGGGAGCCACATTTCCGACCACTGTGACCGGAACCCGTCTTCAAACGACGCGTTTACTGTGTCCTAGTTCCTGGTCCCTCAATTTCCGCCCGACTGCGTCGCACTTGCGTCGCGTCGTTGCCCGCCGCGACAGCAGATATGCTCACGTTCGTCGGTAGATCGCTGCGTTTGACGGTTCGACACATCGCCTCCTGCGAAGTGATCTCTCGCCGCTTCAGGTCCACTTTCGACACGTGGGCGGTATTGGGCGCTACACGCACTGATCAGACGTGTTCCAGGCACCGTGTTTCCAACCCCTGATATGACACCTCAATTCCTGCTTGTCTGAGAAAGCTCCGTTCCCTCCGGCTAAGTATAAACCGCATGTAACCGATTCGGGAAGAGACAAGATGAGCGACGGCGACCTGCTTCGCTCTTGCTCGGTCAGTCACGCGACAAGGCAAACCGCATGAGAGCGACGGGAACAAGTGATTGTGGCGATGAGCGACGTTCTTTAGAAATTCGAAAACCGAGTGACAGTGAGCAATATCCGTCGCTCACTGCTGACTCTCGTCGCTGTCGCCGTCGCTCGTCTTGTCGCTCGCTAAATTGCTTACATGCGGGTCAGCCATTACTCTTTGCAATTTGTCATTGGTTGTTTGTCTTGATTCAGCTCCTCACACCTTGCCAGAATGTTGCGAGCGACTGTTGAACGTGTGCTCTTGTCGCATCCACGTCCCTCCGGTCTTCTCGTCTGCTCGGAGCTTATTGGGGCTCTGCCGATTCCACATCTGCGAGGTGTCACGCACTGCGTCTTTGCCGCGGATGGCTCCATGTTGGCTGCCACATATTTGGTTAACACCCGGGGCATTGTGACAACCCTCTGTTCCTCGGAACATCATTCTTTTTCTTTTTTCTCCTTTGTGCGAAAAATGTTTTTAGGACAAAGCGGTAGGTTCAGGGGGTCTAGCAACCGGGAAAACCGGGAATTGTCAGGGAAATTTTAATTACCAGGAAAAATCAGGGAATTGTTAGGGATATTGTCAAAAGGCAAGCCCAGTCAGGGAAAATGAGCTGGAAACACCATTGAGTGCCCTGAGCAAAGACTTGAGGACTTGGGGGCAGCAAAATAGGCAATACATTCTGCTTAGAGTGGAGCGTGGGCTCTGCTCACCCGATGTAGAGTGTGCTTTATGATGCAAAGAGAACAGCCAACAAATCCAGTCCAACAATTGGATTGGATTGGATTGAGAGCACAATACTTGGCTAGATCCAGTTAGAGCTGCCAGATTTAGTAACTAATTGGAAAGCCGCAGACCCCGATCCAATACATGCCTTAAATAGCCAAAAGTATCCGAAAGTGTGCATCTGGCGGCTATGTTGCCATTCGGTTATTGATGTGTGTGCTTGAGCGTCGTGTTTTCACCGTGTTTCCGGAAGTGGCCTCTTCACTGACGATGTCGGCGGCAAGAAAGTGCTCATTTAATCCGAACTGGACAAACCCGAATATTTTCGGAATATGCAAGTTGGATTAAGCCCATGCAAATGATCCTCACAGTGCTCAGTGCTCAATGCCTCCTGTTATAATGGTCTTACATATTTACCCGCCTCTACAGTGGTCAGGGAATTTATCTGAAATAGTCAGGGAAAACCTGGAAAAGTCGGGGAATTTCAAAATAATAATTTGCTAGGCACCCTGTTGGTTAGTCAGACAACCGAACTACACTCACCCGTGTCTTCGCTGTAGAGGGGTAATTATTTGACTGGTACAAACTCGTACCACCTCTAACCTAAGGTCTACTAAAATTGTGCCCGTTAAATACCGGACATTGTAGACGAATTTCAGCTTGCTAGATTTAGGTAGTTGCCTTTTAGGGGCGAAGCTCCTTAGGGACTAGCCATGTCCGTATGTCCATCCGCCGTCGGGTGCACGTGCTCCTGTTCGTGAGCTCACGCGCTCCCGTGCTCGTGTAGGGAAAAAAAAAAAAAAAACAACCGCATCTCCACGTGGTGAATGATGTTGATTGGGGCGAAGCTCTGGTGGTGCTTGGCCGCGTAGACGGTGAGCCACAGCATGCCAAGCCTTTTGTTCGTTTTCATCCATGTCAGAAAGAGAATGTATGGTATGGAACGTGGTTCTATACGCATTTGAGCATTTAACCGCAGCGTGACATGGATGAAAGCAAACGAAAGGCTCGGCATGCTGCGGCTCAGCGTCTACGCAGACAAGCACCACCAGAGCTTCGCCCCAATCAACATCATTCGCCACGTGGAGATGCGGTTGTTTTTTTTTTTTTGTGGTCCACTCTGCGGCATAAAATATTTTCAGGCGTACTGGAAACGAGCATTCTAGACGAACCAATCCTTGTAAGCATGTGCTTTTCATCTTTGAATTCTCACTAGGGCTTTCTTGTCAGATATTGCTGCTTGAGTCTTCTTGTATAGTTTTTCCTTGTTTTCGTTTCTCAAAGGCATTTTCCAGATACATGTAGGTTATGCTTATGAAAACAATCTCAAATGGGGTCGAGTACAAATAGCTTCTACAAAGAACAGTCGCTGTTTACCACATACTCTGCTTATTTTGATGCTTGAAATTAAAGAACAGTATGGCAAAAATTTTTTCATAAAAAGCATTTTTCATCTAGCATATAGCAGATTCTATATACATCCTAGTGGACAGATTTGTAGCAGTTTATGGCGACTTCTAGTGTAGGTAATCATGTACCGCTAGCTGTGCGATTACTCTCTGGACTCTAAAGTAACCTAGGCTTTGGCGGGATACCTCGTAGATTCGCGGAGTTCCCGCAGCGTGGCCTGACCCGTGGTGTCTCTATACAGAAACAGTTGCAGAAGCTTCTGAAGGAGCTTGAGGAGCAAGACCAGGCCCAGGTTGTGAAGCTTGGAGACGCCAGCATTGCAGCTCCCTTCACGTCCAAGCTCTCGTCCATACAGTGCAGTGAGTCTTCCTCTTTCCCTGCTCTCCTTGCGTTTATCTAGGGCAGAGTGTCGAACCGAAATTTTTATCGGTTCGGTTCCGGTTCGGGTTCACAACTTTTGGTTCGGTTCCGGTTCAGTTCCAAGGAGCAAAAAATAACGGTTCAAACCGGTTCGAACCGGTTTGAACCGCTAAATTGAGACTATATTTTCACGTTGTTCCGGCCATATACACTATTTACGCCGTGAAACATCTAACTATATAGTTTCTTCGATCGTCCGTGCAATTTGCTTTTGTGTTTAGGTACCAAAAATATAAAATGCAGTTATTTAATTTTGATGCAAGAGTAGAAGCAAATCCACATTAACGCACATCATGTCGTGTTCATACGACTCGACATCCCTTTGTTTACCAGTAACCTATATTTTATCTGAATCAAAATGTTTAAGTACAAGAGTAAAGAGTTGAGCTTGTTGGTGCATACCTGTAAATAGATCAGCTTGAAATTTAGAACTATTCTGTGTTTTCTTGTCCTTTCTTCGTGTTTTAAGTAAAATTCTAAAGTTCAAGCTGATTTATTTTCATGGTATAAAATATTGTCGCGAATTGTGCTAAATCGCCTAAAATACCTGTGATTGGTACAACTTTGTGTCGCAGTATTAAAAGTGAAATCGTGATTGTGTCTTTGAACCAAGGAATTAAATACATCACATATAATTATAAAATGAGCACCTTGTGGCCATATATATTACGCGAAATTGTTTACGAAATACGCTTCACAATATATATGTATAAGATGACGACACAACTGAGCTAAATGCAATGGAATTTTCAAAATGTCACAAAAGTTTTAGAATAATTCCTTTCAGACTATTTTTTATAGAAACACCGAGCGGCAATCAAAATGCTTGTTGTTCTAACGAAACATTGTTTACCCTCAGTACCGCATGCATGCGACTAATCATGGAGCAAGGAGTAATCGCAATTGCTCACTCTAATATATACGCACCTTCGTACTCAGATCGAATCTGGCCCAAAATAGCGCTTGTCCAAGTGAACATTTTCTTATACAGGAGAAGCTGACATAGCCTGGCTGTTGAGTTTTGTTCTTGACAAGATGCCGGTCAATTTAATTTGCAAATGAGCATCACCTCTGCTAATTGATGACTTTAACGCGAAAGCGTTAACGAGCTCACGTCGCAGAAAACCCAATGTCGGTGGCGTGACTAGAAAATCTTGATTGGGCGATAGGGTGATGACATCAGAGTTACATGCCCTCGCGCAATAATTTCAAACAATCCACAATGCTCATCTGAAACGTGACATCACGCGTGGAATGAGAGTGATTAAAACATGACATGTGATGCGAATTAAAGATCGACATATGTCTCAAATGATTTAACTTTTTAAAGTAATTCCTTTAGAATTAAGGGGACACACCCCCTAGGGGGGTCAACTTTTGAACCCTTGTCTTAAAATTAATAAAATTTACAGGGCAGGCTGGTGGTCATGCTAGAGGGTGTATAACAAAATTTCAGATCTGTCGGTTAAATAAGAAGGAAATTAGAGTAGCTTCTATCAGCAACACGCCTACATTGTTTAGTTAATCTATCGTCAAAAAACTATCACGATATTCAAAATTTTTATTTGCTAGATATGTAGCAGAATGCCTAGAGGGTGCGGCTATGGAACGTTTTTTCTAAAAAGTAATTCATTTCTATAAATCTTTTCTTCTGCAAAATTGGTCAACTTTTTGGTCTTCTGTGTCTTCGACAAAATATCAACATTTTTTATAAAAGACATCCATAAAGTGACAAAAAACTTCCATAGCCGCATTCCTTATTAAATTTCAGTCAGGAAAAGGGACGAATGAGCCTTCCTTGTTTTGCCATTATCAAATGATAGATTGACTAAAATGGAATTTATACCAAAAAGTGGAACGGAGAAAAATGCATTCAAAGTGCTCCAAACCCTGCCTTTTCTTTAGCTTTGGTGGACAGAAAATAATTTACAAAAACTTAACTATGCAGTGAAAATTAATTAAACTTTTTGGGAATACCCTCTAGATGTTGGTGGATGTAAATATGTCATTTTTGAAAATCAACTTTTTTTTGTAGAAATTTTTTTTTCTGGGCAGTGTCTCCCCTTAAGAATTTTAGGCGAGATTCGAACCCGCGACCCTTCGCTTGCGAATCAGACGCTTTTGACTAGGCCACGCGAGGCACGCTTTCGTGGCAAATGAGAATGCGATGCAAACGAGGCCCGTTAAGGCTATCGCGTTCAGCGGCGTAGACTTTTCAATTTTCAGGGGGTGGGGGCAGGCTGAGAAGCTCTCCGGGGGGGGGAGGGGGGGGGGGGGGGGGGGTGTTGCTGCTGCTGCGCGTGACCTTTTTGCCAGAACTGGAGATTAAAGCTAACGAAAGCACACTGGGATTCCATTTCCCATGTATTTTGTCAATAAAAGCAGCGTGGGCGTTATTTTGTTTACATGCCACTACTAGAAGCTCGTTACATGACACGTAAGCAGCGTTTCGGTAGGGATCATGACCCGAATCTCACCAGGGGGAGCTTCTTAAGCAAAATACAGAGGGGGTCGAAACTTGGGCAATAACTTGAGAACGATGCTCGTGTGAGGCTTACAGCGACTGCCAACGTTCGCTGTCCCTCTGAGGTCGCTAAAATCTTTTTTTTTAGGTATTTCTTTCATACACACATGTAGTTATATGTAACGTCATATTAATAAGTCGCGCTTAGTCATTTCAATACTTCTATTCTCGGGGACATCTTTCGGATGCAGTTCAGCAACAACCAAAAAATGTTTGGGTGCCTCAATGATGTACAATTGGTCTCTCAACATGTTTTGTACTATCAATAAATACTGTTAAGAAGTAACCACTGGCGTTGATAGCTTGCGAAAACATCCATTAGTTTTCTCCTCCGCGCAATAGCAGATGCAGAAAAAATAAAGGAAAGAGACAGCTGTCGATCCCCTCCTCAACTCGCAATTCGAACAAGCGGCCACGTGATCTGACGCTAATTCTATACCGTCAGTGTTCATCATAATCATGCCCTAGGCGGCTAGGGTTTGGAAAGCAAAAGCTTGGGCTGAGCTTCAGATATTCTTAGAGTTGGGCTATTAACATATTTAATTGACATGAGCCGTTACCCGAATGTTTGACGATGCTGACTGTCAAGAACCCGAGCACTCGACTAGGTGTTATGAAAATCGCTTATGTCACGGTGTCACGTGACTCTTGGTGCAAAATCGTGATGTCATGTTACGTCAGGCTGTCAACAAGGCTAATACATCTAGTGACTTCCTCAAATTAAATCGAGTTGACGCGGTGAGTCACTTGACGTCACGAGGTCACGTGACATTACTTGACAACATGTATTTACACCATGACGTCACGTGACAACGTGACACATGGTTAATCATAGTGCCAATACAAAAGCGCCACGAAAACCCACAATTTACCATATGTTGCAATTCTGTATATGACAATTTGATCAATAGATAGAAATACTGCTAACCATTTTTATTCCCATATTTTCATTTTGTGATACTAACAAAAATAAAAAAATAAATTACCTTGAACCGTTTTGAACCGGTTACCGTAATATTTTTTTTCGGTTCGGTTCCGGTTCAGTTCCAAGATGGAGGCGAAGATTTCGGTTCGGTTCAGTTCCGGTTTGGCTAAAAATAACGGTTCGGTTCCGGTTTTCGGTTCGGTTCGGTTCCGGTTCGACACCCTGATCTAGGGCGGTAATTTCTACACTCCACACAGGGTGACTCAAAGTGTAATAGGAGGTGTCTCGAGTTTATTTTTTTTTAGCTTGGCAGTGGACAGTGTTTAATAACCCGACGATTGCATGCAACTTCTGATAGTTCAGTAATCCCTCATTATAATGAAATAACTTTTTTTTAATTATCGCTTTTATCGAAGTTCAACTTTGTCCTGACCAAAATGCACACATTTTTAATCGGATTATTCAAAGTGTATCGGCGGCGGATCACGCTGATTACAAAGGTCGCGGTGCCGAAAGCACGCAAGTCTGCATGGAGACCCTCGCAATCCCTCCCCCTTCTCCACCGGGGCAAACGGCAAACTGGGAAACGGAGTAAACGGGTGACGGAGGTTAGAGGATGCAGAGCTGGCAGAGCACTGCTTCCAATGCCGATACGCCGACGCAGGGATGCAGACAGAAAGCAGCAAGAGCGGCGTGAACGTTCCGACGTTACTCACGACACTGCCCAACTCGTGTCGGAATCGGGTCAAGGGAGCGATGGACCCCATAGGAGATCATCCCTTCGGGCGCCCCCAAAGTCTGCACCCATGCGGGTGCGCTTGCGGCATATTACACGCACACGTGCGTTGTATGGGGGACTGGGAGTGTTTACCGAAAGTCGCTTAGATCTGTCAGCTTAAGAAAAGTGGCTGGCCCAAGTCCAAAGTCGCCGAAGAATTCGATATTCCTGCATCGGCTGTTCGACACAGTCCTCCATTTTGGGGAGCAAGCAAGGCATATTGGGCAGGCTTGAGAAGTTTCTCGTTTCTCCACAATGTCGGCAGATCTGGGCTAAACGTCAAATCGGAGAGACCTTCGAATAAATGTTTCTATCTTGCTTAAGACTTCTCGTGTCTTCGGAATACTAAAAGATAGCTTTTCTGAGTACTGCTAGAACTGTCAGTGGGGAGTAACTTTATCTCGTAAGGACGGGAAGCTCCCCTAACTCAAATCTTGGTGTCGTTTGGCGCTCATGGGGGTTGCAATCCACAATGGTGCACCCTTCTTGTTCTGATCGGTGGTTTTACGCCCCTATTTTGTAATGGCGGGAGCCGTTAATGCTCTATCTCGGCAAAACATGTTCGTGTACGAACTCAAGACCGCTCTATACAGGAGGGGCACTGCTCTCCTTCTCTTCGCCGTTTCTCACACACGGCAAGGCTCCCTCTTGCTTTTCCCCCCTTCCCTCTCTAGGCTGCCGCTGTTTAGAAAAACCCATGTGATCACGGGGGGAACGCTTTCTTGCCACCCCCCCCCCCCTAACCCCTCCGGCAACCCCTGTTGCAAAATAAGCGCTTGGTCGCGACGTACGGACACAGTCCCTCGCCTCCCCACTCCCGCAACCCAGGTTCCTTTCTCGCGTGCTTCCCATGCCTGTAAAGAACAGCTCACATACATACTTTCGCTTCTTCCACCGCAGGCCCGGTCGCGGCCGACCTCTGTCCTGAAAGCGCATGCAGCATCTTGCACGATCGTTCCACCAAAGCACAGATCTCCTCTCACCCGTCTTTTACGTCAATTCCACCGAAAGCAAAGGACCCACGGCATACATTGTGCAGCACACTGACTGAAGGCAAAGCTCCTTCAGCGTGCCTATTCACAACGCAGAAGCTACCGGTGTCAGTCGCAGCCGTGGAGATAGGAAACTTCTGGAGGCGACGTGATGCCGCCAGAGGTGAAGCCAGGGACGACTTCCGGCTCCGAGGGACACGCCCCAAATGATCACCAGGATCAAAAGACACCATTGAACGGAAAGGACGGCTAACTTGGCGCCAACAGCTTTTCTGGTCGGCCTCCAGGGCTTTCCCACCGGCTGCGGCCTCTTCCCGTCTGCTCGAGATTTTCTTATTTGGCTGGCTGGAGCCAGATTGTCGCCTCCTCTCCTTCCTACCTCCATGATTGCAGCGCACTTCGTGTGGTTATTGGCAATTTTTTAATGCAAGAGCACTACCTATTTCATACAGATGCCTATTTCACGGCATCTGTAACCGCGAAAAAACGCGAAAGAAATGCCGATTCTCCCATTGGCTGAGCGAAACAGCTCCTAGATAGCCATTAGCGGCCGCTTCACGAGAGCGTGCGCTCGGCCGCTGCTCTCTCGTCAGCCATTGCCGGATAGCCATTAGCGGCTGCTTCACGAGAACGCGCGCTCGGCCGCTGCTCTCTCGTCGGCCATTGCCGGAGGAGGGGGCGGAGTTGGGGGCTGCGGCCACTTCTGCTCCTCTCGGCGCCAAGGAACATGGCGGCGCCTGAGGCATCTCTATCGTCGGCAGCCACAACCTCGGCCGTAGCGAAACGTAGCCGTCCACGCCAGTACACCATGGACGAACTAAGGGAGCGGAAGAACAACATTCATGCGTTTGCGTTCACAACTCATAAGAAATGCTTAGCTGTCCTCGGAATTTTTTAAAATTAGTCACAAAAGTTTTGCAGAATCGAGGATCCCGGGTTCAATCCCCACCCTTCTCGTTTCAGTCCAGACACGCATCATACCGGCATGCTGTCGCGCATCACTGCTGCGGGACACACGTTGAAGGCCCCAGGCTGTCAGTAGTACGGCAAAATACCACTCAAACAAACTCGGGCGGAACAAAATTAGAGAGTCCCCTCGCCTAACCCCATTGGGTTCGGCGCATTCGGTCGAGTGAACTTTCACTTAAAGGCCAACCTACAGAATCCGACCAAACTTTTGCTCGAGCAAACTCTTTCTTGAGGCCCCTCGACGTTGGTTCGACCCGCGTTTCACCGTACTGCGTCGACTGAACGTCTCACTTACGGCGTAAAGCAGTGTCACCGTACCTCAAAGACAGACGAACCTTATGCTGTCTAAGAAAGAATGTCTAATTTGCTTTCTTTTTTATTTCTGGAACTTCCTTCGTTGCCACATTGGGACCCCTTCCGACGCGCGGGTAGCGCAGGACGCTAAACGTGCCGTTCAAGCTCGTGTTCTCTAGTAGTATGAACGGTTCTCTCCTTCTCGATGCCCGTCCCGTAATGTGGATGCCTCCCATGTGCGCAGTCTGCCACGTGATCAAGCAGGGCCGCTGCACCTTGGTGACGACCCTGCAGATGTTCAAGATTCTGGCCCTGAACGCCCTGGTGCTGGCGTACAGCCAGAGCGTGCTCTACCTGGACGGCATCAAGTTCAGCGACACCCAGGCCACCCTGCAGGGGCTGCTGCTGGCTGGCTGCTTCCTCTTCATCTCCAGGTCCAAGGTGAGCACCACCACCTGGCCCAAAGGTGGACAGAGGGAGGCCAAAGACTAGCTCCGGGGAGGCCGAAGATGTAACGGAGGGTGGTGGAAAGGCGGCCCTAAAACGACCGGAAGGCGGCCAAAGCCAGGGGAAACATACTGTGCTGTATCTTACGCTTTTTCTCTCCTTAACCCCTGTGGGAAAGTTGCCTTGCTGCGTGCCCAACCCGGCGGAACAACACGGAGCCAGGATTTCGGAAAACGTGAAGCTACATTTATTAGTAAATTGTAAACATGAAGTTAGTATTAACAAGGTCGTTGGTCGACACCGCCGCAGCGTGTACCTTTCGCTCCAGGCCCCGCTTCTCTCTCCCCTGGTCGGCGTCCCCGCTGCTGCTTTTATGCGTTCTTTCACAGGGGGTAACGCCCCCCGCGCTCTTTACACACAGTGGCGCCCCTATAGCGTCCACACAATCCCCCCCTCAAAAGTCAGGCATGTCGATGACGTGCTCGTCCTGGTCGTTTGACCTCAGAAGTTGAGGACGTTGCCTTCGTACGACGTCGATGGCCCTCTGCAGCTCGTCGTGGTTCTGGAGCCTCGCAGCGCGGTCGGCAGCTTCCCGGGTCACGTGTAGGAGCCCCGCTTGGTGTGATTCTCGGGCGAGCTCCGGGACTCCGCACAGCGGACAGAGGAGCCTCCGTTCCTCTGCGGTGTATTGCGCCGCTGGATCGTTGGGGTGGCGGTCCTCCAATGTCAGTCCCCTGAAAGGCTCGGGGACGATGACGTGCGCCTCCCCGCGTTCTGGGCGTGGTTGTTCTTCCCAGACTTGCCGGGATGCCCAGCCGACCGGTCCACCGTCGGTCTGCACCATCCATGTTGTCACGGTGGCTTGTGGCCGTCGCCGGCAGCGGCGGCAGAGGATGTGGAAGTCCGCGTTGCCCTGATCTCGTCGTGATGGCCCCGGCCCCTGTCCTTGTGGCCTGGGTGACCGTGGTCGCCACCTCGAATGGGTCCCCCGGCCCTGGTGGCCGTGGTGGCTGATATGGCTGCGACGGCCGCGGTGATGAGATCGCCACCCTCTCTCCATCTTCATAAAAATAAGAAACAGCCCGATGAGCGCAACATTAGGCGTGCTGCGCGTGGCCCCTGAAAATAAAAGTCAATAAGTGCTCTCAGGTGGGATATACTACCCCCCCCCCTCTCAAAAGGAGAACATATTGATGGGGTATGAACCGGAGAACGTTCAAAATTTTAAGGGTGAAGAACAAATGTTTTTGTTAGTCGCTTCGTGATCTCCCTGTTAGCTGTCACCGACGTCGCAGATTGTACCGCCGGGGTGGCGGGGAGGGGGAATCAGGGACCCGACTGCTGCTGCCATCTGCTGGATCCTGCGAGAAATCTTCTTGGCTGTGGAATAGTTTTAGGTCGGTGACATGAATTGGTCCTGTGGACTGACCACTGGAGCAGCAAATAAGTGTGTATGTGAGCGGGGACAGCTTTTTGCCAACACGGAATGGACCCTCCCACCTGTTTGCCAGTGAGGCCGCGAATCCCCTTGTTGCATCACTCAGGGGATGAGTGCGCCTGAGCACGAGGTCTCCCACCTCAAACTGCAGGTTTCGGCGTCCCTGGTTGTACTGCTCGGACTGCTGCAGTCTGGCGACGTCGAGGCTCTCCCGAGCTTCTCTGAGGTTGTCCGAGAAGCGCTTGCGGAGGTCGTCTGCAAACTTCGAGTAGCTGCGGTATTGCGACGTGGGTTCTGTTGAGCGAAGAGCGTTCGAAAGCGGGAAGGCAAGTTCTTTGCCAAAATTTAGCTGGGCAGGGCTGAGACCGGTCGACCGGTTAACCGTGGTGTGAGTGGCGAAGGCCATTTCTGGGAGCTTCGCGTCCCAGTCCTTGTGGCGATCGGTATGCGCAACGAGCATCATCTTAAGGTTCCGGTTCCCCCTTTCAGTGATGTTTGCTTGCGGGTGATACGGTGATGTACGTTTATGCTCAATTCCCAGCACCGCACACGCATCCACGAACACCTTGCTAGTGAAATAAGAAGCGTTGTCGGAAATCAAACTCGTCGGGAATCCGAAGCGCGCGAATGTTTGCAGCAGACAATCCCAGATTTTCTGCGAGTCCAGTTTGCGCAAAGGGAACAGCTCAACCCATTTCGTGAAATGATCCGTTACCACGAACAAGTACTGATTTCCGCGAGGACTGCGCGGGAATGGGCCCATGACGTCGCAACAACAGATCTGCCAAGGGCTCTGGCTTACGATCGGTTGCATGGGGCCTGGGGGTTGACCACCACGTGGCTTCGCTTTCTGGCATGACGGGCAACTACGCGCATACCTCAGTACATCTTGCTGCATGCCGGGCCAGGTCACAATTTGGGACAACTTATCATACGTTTCGCTCCCACTGCTGTGTCAGGCTAGTGCGGAGTTGTGCATGTATGTGATGAAAGACTTACGTAACTTTCTAGGTATCACAGTCCGGAACGCCGAGCTGCTCGGGTCGTCATCAGCTTGAGGGATGTAGCGCAACAGGAGCCCGTCGCTGCTCAGCAAGTACGAGTCGAATTGCTCGTCACTCGCTCCATTAACCGTGCTCGTTATTGCCAGCCAGGCGGTCACCCGCTGACACAGCCCGTCGTCCTGCTGAGCCTTGAGAAGTTCCCCTCTTGTGATCAGTGCTCCCCACCGTGATTCAGGTGATTCCTGCTTTGTGATGGCGACAGCAACCAGGCCCGGACCTTCCTGCGTGTGCTCCTCAGGGAGGGGGGCGCGGGAAAGAGCATCAGCAATTTTGTTTGTTGCACCAGGTCTGTACACGATAGTGTAGTCGTATCGCTGTAGCATAAGCGCCCAACGAGCAAGCCGACCGGCAGGGTTCTGAAGCCTTTTCAGCCATGAAAGTGCTAAGTGATCACACTGAATTTGGAATGTTGCGCCGTCTAAGTACATGTCAAACCGCTTTAACGCATATACTATGGCCAAACATTCCCTTTCCGCCACACTGTAGTTCCGCTGGGCGGGAGTAAGTGTCTGACTTGCGAAGGCAACTGGCCGAAGCACACAGTCATGCTCCTGCAGCAGAACAGCACCCACGCCGATATCGCTTGCATCTGTCTGCAAAACGAAAGGTTGGTTTAAAATCAGGAAGATGCAGACAAGCATTTTCAGTCACTGCCCCCGAGAGGGCAATGAATGCACTCTGTTGTTCAACGTTCCAGTGCCACTTGATGCCCTTTCTAAGGAGGTGATTGAGTGGCTGAGATATCTCGGAACAGTAGGGAATAAAATCCCTGTAAAATGCAATCATACCAAGATACCTCTGCAGGCTTTTCACGTCATGTGGGCACGGATACTCCGTTAGCGCGCGAACCTTCTCCTCGTTAGGACGGAGTGTGCCATTGTCAACCACGAAACCAAGAAGATTGATCTTTGGCGCGGCCAACTGCACCTTTCCCGGGTGAATTGTGAGACCCGCGCTACGCATTCGCTCGAGTATTATTCTCAAGTGCTCGACGTGTTCTTCGAACGTGCGCGAGAAGACAGCTACGTCATCCATGTATGCCATTGCAAAGTTGTACTTTGCGTCGCCAAGTACAACGTCCATCAAACGTTGAAAACTCGCTGGCGAGTTTGACAAACCGAACGGCAAGCGGGTGAACTCGAATAATCCTCTGTGGCAGATGAACGCCGTTTTCTGCACGTCCAACGGGTGAATCTCGGTCTGAAGGAACCCGCGGCTGCAATCGAGCGTTGTAAACACCGTCGCGTTACCGAGCGAGTACATTACAGAGGAAATACTAGGGAAAGGGTAACTGTCCCGTACAGACACGTCGTTAAGGCGTCTGTAGTCTACACAAAGCCTGGCGGTTCCATCCTTTTTTGGAGCAAGGACCACAGGAAACGCCCAAGGGCTCTTTGACTCACGTACTGCACCGGTGTCAATCATCTCCTCGAGTGCCGTGTCCAGGAGTTCCCTTTTGTGCACGCTGATGGGGCGCGGATTGCACCTCCAGGGCGGAGCGTCACCGGTTTCAATCCGATGCAGCAGGATGTCTGTCTTTCCTGGCCGCTCCGTGAACATCGGAGAGAACGGCCGCAGGACGTCCTCCAGCTTAATCTTTTGAAGGTTATTGGCCGGGCATTTCTGTAGTGCAGCGTTAATGCCTGCAGGCAGGAAAGCTGGGGCCGCTGTGAAGTGGGTCGGGAGGGTTGGGCCGGTAATGCAGTCCTCTCGCCTGGTAAACGGAGTGAGCTCCGTCTGGCTTCCTAGCCGGTAGCCTCCACCAGGGAAATCAAGCGTCATGTTCTCGCCTGCAATAAAATCTCGGCCCAAGATTACGGGTACGGCGAGCCCCGGTAGATAAAGAAAGCGCTGACGCCGTGTCTTTTCGTGGAACGAAATTTTGAGCCTAACTCCGTCCATCTGACACTCTTTTGCAGCTAGCTTCTGGTTTTGCGAAACCAGAAGCTAGCTGCAAAAGAGTGTCAGATGGACGGAGCGTTATTCTTTTAGATTTGCATAGCTCATGTGCGTCGTCACCAATAAGCGAGATAGCGGCCCCCGTATCCAAAAGCGCGGCAAAAGAAAAACCAAGCAAGGTAATCGTCATGCGCGGTTCGATTATTTTTGCGATAGGCTGCAATCGACATACGGATGGAGCAAGCGTAACCCTTTGTGTGTTCCCAGCTGTCGTATTTGCCGTCGTCGGCTGTAATCTGGGATTCAGCGACGCCGGCCGTAATAGTTTCCCGACTGAGTTTCTCTGTTACTGCCCGGATTTTCAAGGCCTCTTACTTCTCGAGGGTTGGCCGGGACTTGATAATCCCTCTCGCCACTTCCAGCCCTTCCGCCATTTGTTTGATTCTGCATTGACGATGCATTTGGGCACTCTCTTTGGAAGTGACCGCGCTGTCCACAATTGTGGCAGCGGTCCGAATACCTGCCTGAGCCACCTGCACCAGGGCGCTCTTCGGACATCCTCCAGTGGCCCCGCATTGAACCAGTACTGGAGTGCCTCCGGCTGCTTTCATGGGCCATTTTATGCCCGTCCCGTGGAGGTCTTTGTGTCGGGTATGCCTCGGCGCCTGTCCAAGCACATGCGGGTTCAAGAGAGTTTTCTGGCAGTGGCGGGGGCAGATAATTCTGCTTAGCGAGGAAGATCTCCTCTGTGCCGCGGGCATGCCGGGCCAGCTCTTCAAGGGTCCCAAAGGTGCGGCCGTGTAAGTAGGCGTGGTATTTTGGGTGACATTGCCTTATGACCCGAGCTATACTCTCCGACTCGAGGGCATCAGGTTTCGCCCTTCTTGTGAGTTCCTGTATTGCGCGAACATATTGAACCAGGTTTTCGTTCGGATGTTGCGTTCGGGACTCGAGTTCTCTCAGAATTTGATACTCGTAACCAGGGGGCAGGAACTCATCTCGGAATCTCCGCTCAAACTCTGCTATGCTCGTGAATGTAGTTTGCAGCCTTAACCAACACGCAGCACTTGACTGTAGCGCAAGCGGAAGTATTTTCTTAATAATGAGAGATTCCGAGGCGCCCGAGGCGGCTTTGTAGGTGTCCAACTCACCCAAGAAGTCAGCGACTGACTTGGTGTCGCCGTAGCGAGTGTAGACCGGCACCGTCAGCTGGGGGTGTAGCTCCGGCTCACGTGAATGCTGGACGGCGAGGCGCTGTGTGACCACATCACACATGGCTGCCACCTTCAAAAGCAGTTCGGCTTGCGCATCCGCCGAGCTCGTTCCGGGATTCCCGCTTGCTTCGGGCTTTTCGCCATCCTTCGTCTCGGACCGTAGTGTGGGAGACATGGCGGAAAAAAACAAACGCAAAGCAGACAAGAAAAAGGGTGTGCGGCAACAGACGGTAACTCGACTAACGCAAGATTAACATGCCCCCAAAGCGTCGCCCGCGTGATTAAGCAATGCTTTGCGGCTCCAATTCAACGGGCAATCGCGCTGTCGTGAATACACGCAACGCCGACACGGTGCACTACTTCGAAGAGAAACGCCACGGTTGAAAAATCTTACCTAGCGATGAAACCCCAGACCCGCGTCATTTCGACAGGAGGGCAGCAAAACACGTTGGGCGCCATGTGGGAAAGTTGCCTTGCTGCGTGCCCAACCCGGCGGAACAACACGGAGCCAGGATTTCGGAAAACGTGAAGCTACATTTATTAGTAAATTGTAAACATGAAGTTAGTATTAACAAGGTCGTTTGTCGACACCGCCGCAGCGTGTACCTTTCGCTCCAGGCCCCGCTTCTCTCTCCCCTGGTCGGCGTCCCCGCTGCTGCTTTTATGCGTTCTTTCACAGGGGGTAACGCCCCCCGCGCTCTTTACACACAGTGGCGCCCCTATAGCGTCTACACCCCTTAAGTGCCTTGGACGAGCTGAGCTTGTCGGCCACTTTCTCGCTAAAAATGCCGTGGACGAGCTCAGCTCGTCCAGTGGTTTTTTTCAGTAGCTCTCAATTCCACGGACGAGCTAGGCTCGTTTGAGTAGTTTTGCAGCGCTCATCATAGATGGCAGCACTCATTTTAGTTGGCAGATATTTTTTTCGCCTCCGTTGATTTTTGCGTAATAAACTTTTCAAATTTTATGTGTAATACTAGAGGAACAACAATTCAAAATAAAAAAAAATATAGCACTTTTAGGTTACTTCTGTAAAAAAAAAAATTTGACACTTAAGGGGTTAAAGACTTTCCTGCTTTTTGCTGTAAAAAACAAAAAAATTTAAAAAAGCAAAAAAAAAAAGTTGAGATACTTTGAGGAAAATTTTTATTTTAGAGACTTTATCTGTGCAGAGACCTTCCTTATATCTGGCTGCATTTTCAGCAGACATGCTCTTTTTGTTTATGGATTGTGGCCTTGCCTTGTTTTATGAGCCATGTTGCAGTGGAAACTGGAAAGCTATTGAGACCCTGGGGGATTGTGTGGCCGAAAAAGGATGAAAACCTCGGTGTAATAATCTTTGCTACGTAATGAAGCTTCTGACCCCTCGGTATGACTTTATTTCATTAAGGTATTTCTTTGTATAACAGAAGCCTGTAGCAGAGAAATTTGTCACACCATCTATACTAGTGTAAGAGCCGCATCTTCACAATTTTATCTTAGACTAGAAAGAATGAAAAGATACCGTGTTTGCACAAATTCTAATGCGCCCCTAATTCTAACGCACTGGCAGATTTAGCTACCATAGATTCAAAATGTGAATTTCTGCCGATTCTACTATGCAGATAAAATAATGAAGATTGAATGCATGCAATGCATACATTAATCCCTCGTTATAACGAAGTCAACGGGACAGCAAAAAAATTTGATAGAAGCGGTATTTTGATAAAAGCTGTGGAACCATAAAAACAGTACCAAGAGCCTCGAAGGTGGACAGGAACACTGAGGAACGCTGACCGTATATTTAATAAAAAAAACCTTGGTTATACAACAAGCGGCTGCTTTACAGAGTAAAAAAAGTAATGAAGTGGAGTTTGCCGATAATTTCATCCGGGCGTCAGTTCTCCTCAAACTGGTCCAGGCAACACAAGAACACCGTCACTTTCACTGAACTGCGCTTTGTTTCGCAGCAACCGTAGGATGTTTTGCGTCTCCACAGTCGTCGGCGTTTCCCGAGGTGCCTCTCTGACGTTGTTTCTTGCTTACCCCAGCCGCACGCAAGATCTACAATCGCAGCATCCGTGGCAGGAACCGCAATGGGAGCGTCCGCATCGACAAGCGCTAACGAATGAGTTGTCCTCGGTGCCTTCGCCAACATGTTTTCACACACTCCTGTAGAGATTGTAGCAGCTCTGGGAATCGTGTGCTCGCTCGGCAAGCATGCTCATGAGAGAAAATCCGTCATGTCCGAAACACTTGGCGATCTTTCACCTTCGGGTCGCGGGTGCACTTTCTCTTGAGTGAGAAATTTCTCGCACCCGTCCAGTATGCCTCGGTTGTTCCGCAAAATGGTGGACAGTGTCGAACAGCCGTTGCCGGAATGTTGAATTCTTTGGCAATTTCGGACTTGGACTGGCTACTTTTCTCAACCTTGCAGATCTGAGCAACTCTCAATAAACACTCCCATTCTCCCATACCACGCACGTGTGCATGCATGCCGCAGGCACACGCGTCGAGGTCTCCCGAAGGGATGATCTCCTCCGGGTTTCTTCGGGCTCCATTGTTCCCTTGACCCGATTCCGACAGGAGTTGGGCAATGCCGGCCGCGGGCGCAGTGAGTATAGTGTCGTAATGTGGATGCTGTTCCCACTGCTTCTTGCCTGCGTCGGCGTATCAGCATCAGAAGCAGCGCTCTGCGCGCTCTGCCCTTCATCACCCATTTGGTTTGTTTTCTTGTTTGTCGTTTTCCCAGTTTGCCGTTTGCCTCTGTGAAAGGGGAAGGGAACTCAACGGTCTCCGCGCGCCTCCATGTAGGCTCGCATGCTTTTGGAACTGCGGCGTTTGTAATAAGCGTGGTCGGCCGCCAATACACTTCGAATAATCCTGTTCAAAATGCATGCACTTTGGTCGGAACGACGTTGAACTTTGATAAAACTGATCATTTGGAAAAAGCAATTTCCTATGGTGAGGGAGAACTGTGCCTCATAGAACAGATTTTATGAAACGCGCGCCAAAACAAAAAGAAATGTCCACTAGTCGCCATGGTCAGAGAGTTCGACGATGGTTCTTCACCGTCCACAGATGTATTCCTTGCTTTCGTATAAAGCGTTGCAAGTGCCGGGCTTGTTGCGCTTGTACGAGCGTGCAACCGTCGCCTCTGGGAGGGTCGGCTTCCAAACAACACTTTCCGAGCTCGTCCGGTCGCTGGGATTGCGAGGCCCCGCAGTGCTGCTCCGTTGTTTTCTTTTCCCACCAGTATGATGGCCTTTCGTTTAAATAAAGCCTCCTAGTGGAATTTCTTTTGTTTTTCCATCTTAAAGTGGCAGACACAAGTTCGTAGATGCTAGAGAATGCGCATGATACTAAGACCAATGTGACGAATGTAAACAAATGGTCACGATGCCGATGAAGTTAGCCACCTTATACCGAGTATTGCGTTTTTATTTTGAGTTTCGGCTTTTGGTTTCGATTCGTGTACCGTAGAATACCGCGGATCCACCCATTCCACATTAAGCGCCCATTACCAAATTTGTAAGATCTGAGAAAATATGCACACTACATTTATTATATCTAAAATTGATGACCGGACAAGCGCCCATCCCCCATTTATTTGCGATTATCTCCAAAGTTTGAGTGGACGCTTGCCCGGTATTTTACGGTAGTTTTGGGCACTTTTTTTGGAGAAAAAACGTGCATATTAGAATTGTGCAAATACGCTATTTTCTAACGACTACAGCCCGATTTGCTGCTCATATGCGTGTAAGCGACCCATATTGGCACATTTTCTTGATTGCCGCATGGTTTGGAAGCTCATCACTCTCGTGGCCAAAAAAGGTTAACCTGTTAGTAAGTGAGGTGAACGAGCCCCCAAATTGGGGAATTAAGCGGCATTCTTCCCCACCGCTTTGAGCCCTTGACGCATCCTCGCAGAGTTTTAGATTTCGTCGGAGAGGGGTCCAGCTCACGGTGCCTCTGTTTCCCCCCCAGCCGCTGAAGACCCTGTCCAAGGACCGGCCCCTGCCCAACATCTTCAACTTCTACACCCTCCTGACGGTGCTGCTACAGTTTGCGGTGCACTTCGTCAGCTTGATCTACCTGGTCCAGGAAGCCACCTCAAGGTCTCCTCCCAAGTGAGCAGGGCTCTCCTCCGATGCCGGGATGGTTTAAACTGAACATCACACCTAAGAAAATGCACCACACTCTTTAGTATCGAAAGGGAACTCTTATCTTTGAGTCCATGGTTAAAGCCTGTATATACTACACAGAATGTGTTGGTTTCGCTTGCTTTCCTGCAATCATGTGGCTCCTTTGAATCTCTTTCATAATTTCAAATCACATCATATGGTCATGACATTCTCATGTAGTTACCCACACACTTCCCAGTTTTGGCATAGCAAAATAATTATGAATTCCAGAAAAAATCATTCAGCCTTTCCACTCTCATGAAGAAGGAAGACCAGCGGAGCTGTACTCGACACACTCTGTGCTTCTTCTTTGTCGTCGTCTGTTTTTCGCGCTGTTTCCTACGATTAATTCCCACCAACACGCCGCCCAACTATCCATTCTCCTATGATAGCTGCAAAGGTTGGCGCCATCTACGAGCGACGGCGGCAACCATGCTAGTTGTGTGCTTGCCGCCGTCGCTTATAGATGGCGGTAGCTGTCCAGGTAGGTTTGTGTCGACATACACGGACACGGTCCTGGGGAACCTAGAAAAATTACAAACATCTCCACGTGGTGAATGATGTTGATTGGGGCGAAGCTCTGGTGGTCCGTGGTGCTGGTGGTCCGTGGTGCTTGTCTGCGTAGACGCTGAGCCGCAGCATGCCGAGCCTTTCGTTCGTTTTCATCCATGTCAGAAAGGGAATGTGTGGTATGGAACGTGGTTATATACGCATTTGAGCATTTGACCGCAGCGCCCTCTCGTCTATAAACGTTGAGCCAATGCATGCAAAGTTTAACGCGATTATATACGCATTTGACCGCAGCGCCCTCTCCTGTATGGACGTTGAGAGGCTGCATGCAACGTTTCATCCATGACGTCCCCAGCTCTTGTGTTTCTACCACATCTCAGAGCCCCCTATTCCTCCTGCAGTCGTGGCCGAGTGGTTAAGGCGATGGACTAGAAATCCATTGGGGTCTCCCCCGCGCAGGTTCGAATCCTGTCGACTGCGCAAACATTTTTTCTTTTTTTTCATCATCTTTTTTTTTTTTTTGCCCTGCACGAGCACGTGAGCTCACGAGCACCAGCAAGATCGATGTGAGCACGGACGCCGGACAAGGCTAGACCCTAAGGAGCTTCGCCCCTAAAAGAAAATTGATGTTTGCTTTATGCCTCGTTTACACTTCAGAAAAACTCTCTTGCCGCCGACGAAATTCGCTAAGCGTGAAAAGACTGCGCCATTCACATCCGTAACTGCATCCGCACGTCGCTGCATCCGCGCACTTTCTCCTCTGTCTCTAGGATATCAGAGGAGACAATGTCTGGCCCTTGTGTCGTTAGAGAAGCTACTCTTTCAGGCTTCCTCCCACAGTCAACACTTGGGCGCTACGCGATACGAAACAGCTAACACTCCACAGTGCCGAGAGAATGCCCAACATTTTCTCGACGATACGAGAATGCGGTAATAGAATGACAAGCAAACGGGAGATGGTGCGTACATGCCCCATTGACGGCAAATTCTGGGCCAGTTTTATTCCACAGATACAGCTTGTGGGCACTGTTATTCATACGCCTGTCGACGAAAAGGGACGGATTATTCCTTAGTCTCAATGAGTATTTCTGCCGACTTGGTGAGATCGGCAAGATGGCGCCATTTGCGCAACTCCGGCGGCAGCTCCTGCAACTTGACCGGGATGCGACTTAGCAGACACCATTTCCCCCGCATGTAACGATTGGCCATGGTGGCGCATAAACTTTTTCTGCACGAGAAAAAATTCGGTCCTGGATTGATCACTTTCGCGGCTAAACATTCCGCCGATGGCGATGGATTTTGCTGCCCGGCGTCAGGTTTTGCGCAGATCCGCAAGTGTGAGCGAGTCATTAGACAGTGTAAGGTTGGTCTGTCTTTGAAGTGCTGCAACACTGGCTGTAGATGAGAAATTTTGTTAGTTTACTTCAGCCGCCGGCCCCTGGGTCTTCAACGTCAGTGATGTGATTGCTGCGCCAATTGCGCCAAGCTGCGCCAAGGGGCTAACCCTGCTACATCCTGCTACATTTCGCCAAAATATGGGTACCGTATTTACTCGAAAATAGGTCGAACCCTATTTATTGGACCCACCGAGAATAAAAAAAAAAAAAAATAATTCAACTCTAGGTCAATCTTTTTTTTTATCTTTAAGAACAGGGGAAATTTTGGGCAAAAGAGAGAAACAAACCTTTATTTACATCACTCTCAGCTAAATCACGGGGCGATGCCAAAAGCTTAATCACCGTCAGAACTTCTGGACATGTCATCGCCGTCCGACGCTTCGTCAGCTGGGTAGACATCCTCGCAAATTCGCAACAATACTTCACTGACACCGTTGTAAAATGACAAGAAACGAAAGAAGGTGCGAAGCGACGAAAGACAAACTACAAAGACGCAAGCAAAGCCGCCGTGTCGCCATGAGCAACACGCGAGCCGAGCCGCCTCAAGCAACTAACAAAAGTAACATCTTTTTTTTTTTTTTTTGTGTGCGCGTTTGCGGGGATGGAGGGTAAAGTGCATGGCGCATCGCGTTCCTCTCCTTCCCCGTTGCCCAGCAAGGGGAACGCTAGAGGCGCGATGTCGAAATCCGACTCCCGAGGGGTGCGCGCGATAGCAGCACCGGCCACCGCGGGCGGCAGCCCATTTCGGTTACCAAAAGCTTTTTGAAACAAGAAGCGGCGCGGCTCTACGGCAACGCCGGCTCGGTGACTCGATAGCTTCATGCCTCCGGTACGGTCGCAAAATTTGGTCCCGAATGTAAGTGTCGAAATTCTTTGGTCACGATTTCCGAAAAAAAAAAAAAAAAAAAAAAAAAGGTCGATTTGTATTCGAATAAACACGGTAATCTGTGCCAAGCCTGCGCCAAAGGACCAATTTAGGTCGCCTTTTAAAACCGAAACTAAACTGAGTAGTTTAATTGAGCAGGCGTGTGTTATGTGGTGCAAGCGGCCGCTTGACACAGAGTACCGTGCATCAATTGTCCACCCGGTCTTGCATGGTTTTCCCGGCGTCTCGCGTTTCGCGCTCTCGTCTTGTGGGTCTTGTCTCTCGTCTCTTTTTTTTTATATTTCCAGCGATAGACGCGGATGTGTACAGACGCTCTAACGCTAGCGTGCCGGGTACCAGCCATGGCGTCATGCTGTGAAACGAAACCACGTTTTTGAGCGGCAGGAGTTACTTTGAGAGCTGAAGCAACGGCCGTGGGAAAACTATATTTGGTCACTGCCTTTCAGTCACCGTGGTGGCGCGACGTTGAATGTTGCCGTCCCCACATCACCACAGATATGGTACTTTCTAAAATGAAAGAACCAGCAGTGTGCTTCTTTCAGTTCTCCTCTCCATCACTTTTCCTTTAAGTAAGCATGTCAAAACCAACCGGCTCAGCTCCAGGCCATCACAATCTAAAGTGAAACTAAGTACCGTTGCATGTTCATCAACGTTTGTGTTCTTGTTTAAATCATACGTTACCACAAAAATTTATCTTTAGTTCAAAGACTGCTCTGTCAAAGTATTGATTATCTAGATTCCGCTCGATGGTCCTTATTTCGAGAGGGACCGCGGTACATGAAAAATCTGCCGTATAAGAAAGTTGGTGAAGAGAAGTGAGCTAAAGCAAAGAAGGCATTGTCTGCACGGTGAATCCGCACAGCGTGCTTGTTTGTCTTGAGTTCAGTCGTTGCACAAAGCGCTCTAAGAACGTTTTGAGGCTGGCTCGCAATTTCTTGCATCAATGCACTCAGGTTCTTTATTTTTTGTGTGTTTAGCTTGTACCTTGCTTGCCGGCCTAGCAAGCACGCGCCACTGGACTGTTTTTGTCGCATGCTTGAAAGTTACGTTTTGTGTACAATTTTGGGGACAAGTTAGCGACGGAGCTGAGGGGCATGGGTTTCGGTTTCGATTGGACAGCCGTTGTCTGCGCTCGCGCAACGAAGCATGCCCAACAGCAATCCTGCCGAAGTTGGCCTCACGTGCATGCGAACATCATTGCGTGACTGAGGCACCCGCTGGGACGCTTGCAATTCATTGTTTTACGTTTGCTTATTTTTGACGAAAATCTGGCACGTCGGGAACCAGTAAAATGGTGGCAAGCGGCTTTTCGGAATTGCTTGGCAATGCCTACAGCACTGTACACTTGTGGGATGTCGGAGCAGTAAAAACAGAAGCAGGGAGTTCTGTCACAACACGTCACATCAGAACACAGCACAACACAAAGTGCCCTTCGTTTGTACAGCAGTTAAAACAAATATTTTTATTTTCCTAAAAATATCTGCTCCGAAATCTACTTTTGCTGCTCCGAAACACTGTCTTGACTGCTCCAAAAGCCGCTTTTCCTGCTCTAAAACACTGTTTTGGTTGCTCCAAAGGCCACATTTGCTGCTCCAAAACACTGTTTTGTTGCTCTGAAACGTGCGCCAAAATGGCTTAGGCCAATCACATCACTGTAACGTGCATCACGCGGTAGTGATACACGACCGCACGCCGATATGATGCTCGTCCAGATCAAAATTGGCAGGGGATGCAACCCAGGATACCTGGGTTCTGCGGCGCGAGCTTTCGCTTGGCTCGGTCGATTCTTGTTTGGGAAAGAATTTTGCATTGTTTTCTCAATTTTGTGTTCTGTTTCCCCTCAAATCCGTGTTACATATTTCTTAACTTGTTTTTGTGGCATTGTGTCACACTTTCCTCGGGATCTTGGCCCCCTTCGTTAAAAGTGAAGTATCTTGCGAACAATTAAAGACAGCTCGGAGCTGTAGTCGCTCAATTTTATTGGAGGACGATTGACGATGATCACTCGTCTGTATTGTGCCTAACACTGTATTTCTTTTCTCCAGGGATGACAAGTTTTCAGACCTGGAGGCTGACTTCAAGCCCTCCCTGCTGAACAGCACGGTCTACATTATCTCCATGGCACTCCAGGTGTCCACGTTTGCAATCAACTATAGGGTGTGTACCTGCTCTGCCCTGCCACTTTTCTCTCTTATACATTGCAAGATGCAGACAACTTTTCATTGCTCTGAGCTTAAAGGCATCCTTCAAGCTTAAAGCATCCTTTAACCTTAAAGGATGCACACCTGTTTGAGTCATTGTGGAGTAGATGTGCTAAGTGGAACCTAACAAAAGGGCCATCAGAACACAGTCATTGTCGTACATCAGGCGGAAGTTTTTTGTTTATTTATTTATTCTATATACCTTCCAGTGCTGGAGCATTGTAGAGTGGATTGGGAAAGAAAACATAAAAACGAGACAAAAAAGAGATGTGGCAAAGTATACAAACAGTAAACGTGCGCAGCAGTTTGAAACAAGAAAAGTTATGTCTTCCACAAACAAAGTAAAGCAAGAAAATCATGCAGTAGCATCACACAACAATGTGAACAAAGATTGCCAGAATATCATATACTGTTGAGACCAGTTACAACCAAGTCAACGGGAATTGGAAATTGCTTTGCTCTATCCGCTTCGTTGTATCTAAACACCATACAAGTAACACGCAAGAGAAAACAATATAATGGATGACACGGGTCTTTAGGGGCACCTGTTTATTGTTAGTGCAGAAAACGGTCGAGGCTCCCCTGCACGCGCTTTCTGCTAGATCAGAGGCGCTTCTCGCAAACTGTGAGAAGCTCCGATCGGAAGAAGATACTGCGAGCTACGTACGGATCGCGTCGAGTCGACAGCTGCGACGGCCGGAGGATGCCGACGGCGGACGGCATTCTTTACGTTTATGCACTTTTGTTTCAAGGAGGTTGCCTTCGTCTTCCCCGTTGAGGTGCCTGGACTCATCATTGTTGAGTGGTGAGAAGCCGCCGAATCGGTGCTTCAGCAGAAAGCAACTAGCGACGCCGACATGGAACACGATGCAAACAGAAGCGTGCACGGCACGGAGTTCGCGCTCCAGCTCAAGTTCATGTTTCGTCAGTATAGAGAGCCTAGGTTTGAGAGAGGGGGCAACTGCTCCATCGGAGTCCCGTGGTTTATGGGCCGCGTTTGCACAGCCAGCTGCAGACTGCAAGATCATCAAAAGTGTTCACCGCCTGCAAGTGTGTCCGCCTCTCCGCCTGGTTTCCTCGCCGCGCTGGCCACGAGGCAACCAAATGCTGCAGCAATCTTCACAGGATGCGTCTGCCATTAAATTGCAAATTCTCTCCATGGTTGGAGTTGCTCTCTCACTTTAATCTAGGCTCTCTCTGTCGTCGCCGTCATCGTACGTGTGCACGTAGTACGCCGCAGGCGCAAGCATTGGGGGCTCTCGAAGGGATGATCTGCTCCAGGCTCCATCGCTCCCTTGGCTTGAATCCGACAGTAATTGGGCAGCGTTGTCCACGGGTGCTGAGACTAGTGTCGGAACGTGTACGCTGCTCCCTGCCCGCGTCCCCGCGTCGGCACATTGGCATTGGAAGTGGCACTGTGCCAGCTCTGCCCTCCATCACGCGTTTACTCCGTTTTCCCAGTTTGCCGTTTGCCTGGGTGGAGAAGGGAGAAGGAACGCAAGGGATTCCATGCACCTTCGTGTTGGCTTGCATGCTTCGGCACCTCAGCCTTTGTAATTAGCGTGGTCAGTTGCCGACACCCTTAGGATACTTTGGTTCAAAATGCACGCATGTCGTTCGGGACCACGTTGAATTTCGATAAAAGCGATACAGTCGAACCTCGATATAACGAACTTCAATGTAACGAAATCCTCGATTTAACGAAGTATTTTATTTTTCATAATTTCTTGCCCGTAGACCCCATGTATTTTTAGCCCCTATATAACGAAGTCTATTTTGCTGCTATTTCAATATAACGAAGCGCCATTGCCATAGAAGGCAATAAATAAATCAACTCTAAAAAACAACTTCGCAAAAAAATTGTGGTTAAAAAAAAAAAATTATGCGCAAACGCGAGCGCTTGATAGGTTACTTCACGGGGACAGGCCTTCCAACGTTCCTAGGCTGCCCGAGGATGCGGCGCCGGTAGCGCCGGCGAGGCATGCGGCAAAGCGGATTCCGCGAGGCTGGCCAGAAAATGCCGAGCAAAAAGTTAACACGGCATAACAGCATCACCACTGACATTCACTGATCATCATAGTCCACTGTACCGCGGGTAGCGCGGGAGCCAACTTCAGCGGGGGAGCGACGTGATAGCGCGACCGTGCGATCCGCGCGACGGCACGGGCAGTGCCATCTAGGAGAAGACCGAAAAGACCGATTAAAAGCAAAGGCGCAAGCACACTGTGGGCGCAAGGGGGCAAGTAAACTGTGCGGTCAAGAGTGCTGTGTAGGTTGGAAACATTGGCACCGCCTAAACGCCTAAACTAAACAGCTTTATTTTTTAACCGGGTGGTTCACTTACGTGCTTGCTGCCATAAGGAAACGTAAAGTTCTTTCTTTGGATGAGAAAGCAAACGTTTTGGACGCCATCCTGAAGAAACTGCCGAGATCACGAGCACTCGGGAAGTGCTCGACGCAATGGACGTACTGAGGAGATACACGGCGTCGCATGGGCAGCAAGATGCCGTGCAAGCGCTCTGGGCGCTCGAACGCCGTATGACGCCGCCGACGCCGCTGCTACTGTCGGACAAGGCGCAAGCAAAACTCGCGGACTACTTTGCCCCTAAATAAATGTCATTTTCGGTGAGTTTTCATACCCGTAAAATGTTTCGGAATTTTTTTTTTTTCGCATGCTAAAGCCAAATTTCGATTTAGCGAAATTTCGATGTAACGAAGTAAATTGCGAATTTTACCGACTTCGTTACATCGAGGTTCAACTGTATTTCGAAAAAAGTGATTTCGTTATAACGAGGAATTACTGCAGCAAATACATAGGAGTTCGTCTGACACCAAATTTGTCATGAATCTTCATATTGAACCAACTTTGAGGGATGCTTCTAAAACATTGGGATTCCGGAGAAGACACCTGTTTCTAGTTGACGGTAATGCTATAATACTAGCATATACATCCGACGTTAGAAGTAAATTAGAATATGCCTCAGTCATATGAAATCCCCACAAGTTCACTTGATCAATGATTTAGAGTCGCTACAAAATAAACCTGCCCGGTTTATAACATGTGATCATACGTATTAATGACTCATTAGATTTGGTGTCCCTCGAAACAAAAATGCTGATAGCATGTTTCTCCTTATTTCACAATATTATATCATGGTTCATGTTCCTTTCGCCGAAATCTCGTTGTGCCAACGACTCGCATCTTTCCCCGTTTTGACCATCCGAACAAAGTAAATCCTGTGTTTGCCCGTACTAACCTATACAAATACTACTCCCCGCTCAACATTGCAATTAATGAATGAAATGCCTTGCCAAGCAACATATCAGTCATACAGGAACATCAATCTTTTTTGGACCTGTTGATTTCTTTCATCTCACAGAAAGCCTAAGTCGTTGTCTCAATTTATATTTGTTATTTCGTTATGACAACTTTGGATCCTGCAAACGTCTTCTTGTATTGTCTTTTCATTTTTTATTAGTGTGTTGTGGCCATCTGTTTTTTTCACCCGTTGTTGTTTTGAGGTGAATAAATTCCCCCTATACAATGCCTGAAGGGCCCTTAGGGTAAATAAATAAATAAATTTCATAAACTCTGCTATAACTTTTGAATAAGATAATGGTTAGTTCTGAAACTTTGGCATCTGGTTCAGGCTGCTAGGGCTACGTTCGGGCGGAGAATGAGCGTTCAGCAATGCACAACTTATTTTTGAGGTATAAAAAAACTCGTAAATTTTTTGGGAGGACGCTCTGTAGTTCAGGAGCCCTATGCAGGATGGCGTGGTTAGGATCCCAAATTGAGGCTGCTATTCTAACTTCGAGCGTCGAAAAATGTTATAAAGAAGCAATTTTAGTTTAACTGGGGCCTTTCTGAAGTTATGTCGTAGGTATCCCAGCAAGCTGTTTGAGTTGCCGATTATCATCTTGATAGGAGGTTCCCAAGTTAAAGTTGATGATGCACCTAGTTACACCTGGATATGGACATGATTCCACGGATTCAAGTTGAACGTCGGTTAGTGTATACGGCACAGGGCACGCGCTGCGAAACCTGCAGAAGTTTTTATTTGTTAGGGTTTAGTTCCACGAGTCAATTTTTGCACGAAAGAGTAACATTATTAAAATCTTAATGCAAATTTGCGTGCTTCGTCATCGTTAGGAACATGGCGATAAAGAACACAGTCATCCGCATCTAAATGCGTAAACGTCTTCCCTTTCCGTCTTCCCACGTTCCCAGGGCTACCCGTTCATGGAGAGCCTGACGGAGAACCGTCCCCTGCTGTACAGCCTGCTCATCTCGGGGCTCTCCGTGGTCAGCCTGGTGGCCGGCATCATGCCGGACGTGGCCAGGCAGTTCGAGATTGTCCACTTCCCCAGAGACGTGAGTGCACTGGGGGCTCCCCCGCATCGATAGTGCCGAGAAGACGAGGCATTACGTCGTCGTCACTGGATGCCCAGCCTGACGAGAGCAGCCGCCAAGTGGCAGACCCGTCCCTTTTGGCGTTGCCGCGCGCTAATGTCGCATTCGTTGTGAAACGCCGCAAGACGTGCTGGCGATGATGCCGATGCGGAGCAGGTGGCACTGTGTGCATCCACTGGTGACGATGTTTGGGGGGAAAGGTGCAGTCCTGGTGTTCGAAGTGGTTTTGGCCAAGCGCGGGGGAAACGAAGCTCCTCTGCCGTTCTGATCTTGTCCATGACAGTAGCGTCGCACTCACTGTGAGAAACTGCGAGACATACTCGCGGAGACATGAATGCTACCTGGGCAGCGCTGCGGGACTCTATTGGCGACGAGTTCGAGGGGGAAAAGGCGCGGGCATATCCGTTCCTTCGAAGCATTTGTGCGCTTCGAAGGAACGGAGATGCAGTATGGACTCGTCACAACAGACCTTGATGGTGATGAAGATTTTGGTCCTTTGTAAGAGGAATCTGCATAATGCAGATATTGTTACTGCAGACTTTGAGGTGGATCGACTGGAGTTTGTTCTAGTGAGTCAGACTGGCAAAATGTAAATGGAGACCGTATTTACATGAATGTAGGTCGACCCATTTTTCAATTTTTGAAAATGTGAAGTAGGGGGTCGACTTATAATCGAACCAAAGCATTCACCCTCCGACAAACAACAAAACAGTCACCATATCAAAAACACCTCTGCTTGTTACGAGTTCAGCCAGTTGTGCCTGCAGCATTGCGCTATTATGCGCGTTCAATTTACAAACTCTTTATTTTTTTCTAAATTTTCACGAATGAGTATTATTGATAGCAATTCGCAAATTAACCCGAATGTATGACGGGAACAGCGCACCACGCGCCTGACTTCCGGGGGTGGCGGCACTTCTTGTAAGAGCCACTCCGGAACTGGAACTGGAACAGCCTCACGGCTCACTTCCCGCAGCGTCTTTTCAGTTTTTCGCGCGATTCACGGTCGCGCGTCATTCTATCGAGTGTCGAGATCATGCTGGAGTGCTAACTATGTTTTTTTTTGTGTATTGACACGTGTGATCTGGGCAGTTTAGGTTTTCGGTGCTCGTTTATGGCCATTCTTCACTCTGAAACAACCAACAACTTCGCTGTTGGACGCAAGTTTGAACTGTTGGAGCGGGTGATGCTCCAGTGGAGTGTGCAGTGGCACCGGATCTTAAATTGTGATGGCGCAGTCGGTCCCAACCCGTGACGTGCAACGCGATCGCCGAGCAAGCGCGGAAGATGCGGTCATTTGGAAAGTGGGAGATTTTGTTGGACGACGCCGCCGACGTGCTTCGAGAACGTAGCAGTGATGGCGACGGGACTGACAACACCAGTGCGGGCGAGTCGTAGTCTAGTCGCGGATGGAGTGGGAACAACAGGGAGCAGCTTCAGTTGTCCTGCCTCCAGCGTGAACTTCCTAGTTCCGATAACGCCTGGGCATCTCATGCACCTCGCGCGTGCATGTGCAGCCAAAGCTCGCCAGAAGGCATCAATCGCAAGTTGGAGGCTGGGCTTTTGAAAGATACTTTGCCGTTCTCACTTGTTCGCAGTAAAATGCGCATCAAAATTTTTTTTGTTTTTCTGTTGGTTGACTTTTGTGTAAATACGGTGTTAGAAAGGACTGGTTTATTGAAACATATGAAGCTTAAAAGGTAGTGATCTATTATTGAGCTGTGCCAATTGTCACTGCGCGGTTTGGGTCGTATGAGACTTACGAGGTGCCGAGTGCCGCAACAGCCGGTTGCGAAATGGATGCCACCGCTACCAAACGAAAGCCGCGTAATGTCTGAAATAGAGTCGAATCGCTAATTCGTACTCGAGGGGGAGCTAAAATTTGTTTGAATAAAGCAAAGTTTGAATTACCAGGAGTTTCCTCCTACAGAGACACATAGGATGGGACCTGCATGTTAGTTTGAATTTTCCTTAAGTTTGAATTAAGACAGTTTGAATTATGAGAGTTGACTTAAGAGAGTCCGCCATCATAGAATGGTGAACTACTTACAAGATGCCCAATCGTTATCGAAGTTAGGAAGATCGCACTGAGGCGAAACATTTTACTTCTCACTCCGTCTGCGACTAGAGACTACGATTCGTCCGCACTAGTGCTGTTGTTCCCGTCGTTGCGGCCACATTCTCAAAGCATGTCATCAGCATCGTCCAACGCAATCTCGCCATTTGCAAACATCAACCACATCCACATGAACCGCATCTTCCGCGCTTGCTCGGCGATTGCGTCGCACGTCACGGGTAGAAACCGATCGCGCACTCCTGCAACGTACGTTGCAAGCCTGACCTCTAACTCCGCAAGGTGTCCAGACCTATGCAGACTTTGGCCCGCGAGGCCTCTTAGTTTGCCGTCAGGGTTAAGATACTACGCCGTTGCAGACTCCACTGGAGCATCACCCGCTTTGACGGGTCAAACTTGCATCCAGCAGGGCAGTTGTTGGTTGTTTTTAAATAAATTGCCATAAACGAGCACTTAAAAATCTAAACTGCCCGGATCACGCATGTCAATACAGAGAAACATAGCTGGCACTCCAGCATGATCTTGACACTCGATCAAACGACGTGCGACCGTGAATCATGCGAAAAGAAGCAGCAAGGAGCGAGGCTGCTCCAGCAGCCATTTTGGAGTGGCTTTTACGTCGAGTGCCGCCACCCCGGGACCCGGGAGTTGGGCGGTAGGGTGTGTCATGCAGCGTTCACTGTCACACATTCGGGTTGAACTGCGAATTAATATCAATAATACTCGTCGTGCAGATAAAAAATAAAAAATTACCTCGTAAAATGAGCACACAGAATGACACAAGGCTACGGGTACAGCCTGCTGAACTCGTAACAAGCCGAGGTGTTCTTGATATTGCGATTGTTTCGTTTTTGCCGATGGTGGAATGCTATGGTTCAATTATAAGTCGACTCCCCATTGCCCCCCCTTAAGAAATGAGCCCACTGTCCAAAGGTTGGCCTTCGTCGAACTATGCCAAAAGTTTGAAGGTTTGCCGAACCAGTGGAACCTCGGGTTCAACAAAGGTCTATGTCACCCCTAGCTGTAACCAGATCTGTTGTAACGAGTTAACGCTGTATATATGCGGGCTTTGGTTATGAGCAGTTTCCAGTTCATTCAGTAAGATGTGGGAAGGGCATCTTCTGCGATCATTCACGTGCTGCATTCTTTCGTATACTTCCAGATGCAGACAATCATCCTGCAGGTGCTGGCTTTCGACTTGTTGTGCGCATTTGCGGTCGACAGAATCTGCCTGTTCCTCTTTGGGAGGGGCAAACTACGGGGCTCGTAGGAGACACGTTCGCCGATGCGACGCAACTGCCTCCTCGGCGCCTCACGAAGAAAGTTTATTTAAAGCACAGACACTGGCATAAAAGATGACGAGTTTGTTGTACTTCTAAAGAAACACATTTCTTTAAAAAAAATAATAAATGGCAATGTTTTGAGTTTTGATTTCTCCTGCTCATATTTGGTATATATACAATGATTCTTTTTATTGTGTTAGAGATTTAGTGGACCAGATGAATGGGCTTCTTGGCCCAGCGCATTGCGCTTGTAGATTACGATGTTCCCTTATGGTGTGTGCAAATTTTCAAGCTTTCAGATTTTGTGCATAGATAGAAAATGTAAGAACAGGTTAGCGTTTTCTTGTGGATAGGGGCGTGGTAAGCTCCTGTTTGAGTTACTTAGTCATTCATTTTTTACGTGAAATCAGGGCGAGCATGTTTTTTTTAGACCAGGACATTAGAACAGCAATCATCACAATAACCATAATTAGGCATGCATGCACTTCCTGTGTGACCAAAAACATTGTTAAATCTTTTGGAGGGCTGATTGGATAAATGTTTTAAAAATATCATGGTGTAGCAAACCAGAATGTTGAACCGTAACTGAACCAAACCATTACAGTAATCCCTAGTTATAACGAAGTCAACGGGACGGCGAAAAAATTCGATAAAAGCGGTAATTCAATAAAAAGGCTGGATCCATAACAAGAGTAACAGTAACCTTGAAAGCACACAGGAACAGTGTGGAAGGCTTTTACAAATATATATTCAATGAAACAAACCTCGCTTATTATCCAGGCTTACTGAAACATGAAAATAGACGGGTGATCAGTTTGCTGGGCGTTTTTGCCAGGCATTAAAAAAACCTCTTCCAACTGCCTCAAGCACCGCATGAGGCTGTCATCGCCTTTGCCGCACTCCACCTTGTTGCGAAGAAGACGAAGCATGTTTCGCGTTTCTCCAGTCATGGGTACCTCTCGGAGTTCCTCATCCAACGGCTCTTCGTCTTTGCCCTGGCCACACGAGGCCCACGATCTCGGCATCCGTGACGGGAGCGACAACCGAGATGTCCGCATCCACAAGCGCAAACGAGTCGAAGTCATCTTCGGGAGTTGCACCAACGATCTCATGCACGGTTCTGTAAAGGTCGTCGCAGATCTTTGTGTCATCCACTGGCGCACCAAGCATGCGCGTGCGGAAAAAGCCGTCGACAGCGTCGATGCCGGGATGTTGAATTCTTTCACAATTTCCAACTTCTTCGGTCGACCACCTTTGTCGAGTTTTTCTGTTTCAGGGTCAAACACTTCCGCGCAGGCTTCAGTGAAGCAGGTTGCACGCAGCTACTGTACACGCGGCAGACGGGCTGAGGTGCCTTCGCGAGGCAGAACACAATATCAAAGACGTTGCCCAACGCGCACGCGACCCGTAAATGCGGTGTCGACAAGCTGGCAAACGCGTGCGTCGCGACAATCAAGTACAGCCAAAGCATGCATGGGTAAATTACTTCCAAAATGTAATTTAATTACAATTACTTTGCTTCAAAAGTAGCTTCAATTACTTTGCTTCAAAAGTAGCTTCAATTACTTTGCTTCAAAAGTAGCTTCAATTACTTTGCTTCAAAAGTAGCTTCAATTACTTTGCTTCAAAAGTAGCTTCAATTACTTTGCTTCAAAATTGTAATGATAATACTATAATTACTACTATGTGAAAATTAATTACAACTACATATTACTTTTTAAAAGTAATGCAATTACTTTACAATTACTTATTTCTGAGGGCGACCCGACTAGGGCCATATAAGTTTAAACGAGTTGCATGAAATGCAACGTATTTGTTCATTCCTTGCCCCAATGTTTAAGGAGGCTTAAGCATCGTTGCATAGATGCCACATATTGTACTTTGCTTTTATGAATTTCGCTAAATTTATTATAGACCTTGATAGTTTGGGGCAATGAAGTACTACATTCTTATATTTTCATTAAATATTAATAAATTAGTTCCTATGCTGGAAGGCGCCGGATCGCTGAAGAAAAAATTGGGTAGACAGACCAATTAAATGCGACAATTAGTCATGTATGACTATTTCAGAAGCGTTAATATAAAACTAAAATCCAGACGCGCTAATACGACTGCATTCACATACAAACATCATAGTATTGTAAATTATTTACACTGAGTTGAAATTCTAATGAGTCGGAAATATATAAGAACCGCATTGGGGCTCCCGAATCATTGGTGACAATATTCGCAGGTGCGAGTTCAGTCTTCCAAGTGCGCAAATAATATCCGAAGTAAAATCCAACAGGAAATAAACTTGAAAATAATACAAAGATACAAATGTGCGACAGTACTGGAAGAGGGTCGTAAAAAACTTCCAAAAAAGAAAGAAAAATTACTTCATAGACAATTAAAGTTTCCAACCTCGTCTAAAAGCTGAAGCTCAATTTTTTTTCTCTCAATATTTTGGCATGTTTACGTTATTGTTTTCTGCTCGAACCGCAGAGCGCTGCACGACGCCGTTGAGGTAGGCTCCAAAGAGGATTGTCTCTCAGACTACAGTGTAAGCAACAACACAACAAACAATGCGAGACTATTTATGTTGTGTGTGCCTGTGTGCGAGTGTTTCACTGAGTGCTGGGCCGCTTGTACGAGTGCTGAGGCTTTCAGAGAGGTTCCGTCGGCACCGAAAAGCTCTGCAAAAGAGATTGTAATTGTGCCCGAAATTTTGCAATTGCTAACACAAGTAAGTAATTAAATTACAATTAATTTTAGCCAGTAGTAATTATTACAATTACAAAGAAAAGTAATTAAGTTACAGTTATTCAATTCCTGTAATTGAATTATTACCTAAGTATGGGGTGGACCTTGAACAATATTGTTTTTTTTTAATTTTGAAGCTGATTTATTTAACAAATATGTTCCTGAAGCATATTCGACTTCTCAGACATATAAAAGTTTGTTGCCTCTTTTATGTGATGAACAACAATTTTATGTGTCTGTGGGCTGGACGAAAACAAAGTACACAGTGGCACGTTTCGGAACTATGAGGATTGTGGACGCAGACCGTCAGAAAGTGACCAGTTATAAGTAGCTGCAAGAAGAGTATGAAATACTACTTTCGAATTCAGATTTTTTTTATTTTCAAATCATTCATTCATTTACGCAATGATTGTTTGGACCCATAGCCACTATGGCTAGTATCGGGTCCAGTCACAAACTATGTATCACCGATATGACATTGTTAGCTAGGTCATTAACCTTGAATGTTATAAAGCAACTTTTTTAATAAAGGCAAATTTAATTTTTTTTGTTCTATTTAACGAGAAACAAAAAAAAAAAAAAAAAAAAAGCAACCGTGATGCTTATTCGCAAACCCAATAGACCGATCTCACGAGGAGTTGCGCGACGCCACCGCTACTGCGGTGCATTCTGGTACCTGTAGTTCTCCCCAGTTTTCCGACCGCGTCGGTGCGCATTGTACGTCCGGCGTCGGGTTAGCTCACGAGACATTTAGCCAGGTGTTGACTCATGGTTTTCGATCGGTGGCTTTACATGTTGTATGCCACGGAGCTATAATAACAGCACCAGGCAAAAATGCCTCGGATATTACGTCTTCCCGCAAGAAAGAAGCATGCATGGCAAAGAAAGGTCGACAGAACCGGACAGAGCGGCAGGAAAAATAGCGTTTTACGATTTGTTTCGCGATTTGCTTCATAATTTATATACAATTATTGCACGTCAGCTAAAATATTTAAGATTACAGGGCACGAGACATAGAGCGTGCCGAAGTGTTCCGTAAGCTGGAATCTCGCTGACCATTTGCTCCGTAGCGGCCTACTCGTTGGTCTATCTCAAATAAGACCTCCGCACTGCTTTGCGGAGGCCGTTTTTAATACACTTCTTACTCGGTGTATTTTGGTGGCTATAACTGTTATTGCGACGACATGTTTCAAGCACAATCACTAAAAAAGAGTATCGATTCCCGATATGCACCACTTGATATAAAACAACTTTTTTTCGGAAGCAGCCTTCATTTTTTTTTATACCAACGCGAAAAAATTACACAATGCAATTTAGAAGTGCAACACGTACTTACCGTCAAAAATGTAACAAACGAACCTCATCCATTTTGTGGTGGTCTATTAGGCTGGTGTTACTGATCCATTCTGCATCAGCACCAGTCGAGACCACAGAAAAAAGCTTCCCCCGTCGGGCGACTGTTAGCGTTGGGATCTTGCGCAAAACAAAATAAAACTGAATAGAAACTGTGCACAAAAAATCATCTCCACCCCAAGATTTCAGGTATCTGGCTTGGTTGCTTCTTTTTGATAGATGCCAGTTATTACGGCGCGTCAGGCATGGCCTTTCTGTAGATCAGTTCTTTGTGTGCAGGCGTCTCCCGCTGTTCATCTGTACTCTGTCGCAGAGACTGTCAACCAGAATGAAACAACTTTTCGAAAACTATCGCTGACCGAGAAAGTCTATTTAGCTCCTCTTACTTGATGGCTGATTAAACGTTATGCACAAGACTGAGCACCACCAAGCTCAGTTTTTTTTATCACATTTGATGCTGTTCTGTGGTGCTACACCGAGCCGATGGTCCCTCGAATTTTCCTGTTCTTTGCTATTGCACTAGAAGTTCACTTGTTTGCAAGGTAATTGAGACGTCCGAGGAGTCGGAATGCTCAAGCAGTGGCGCCGTTTTTTTGTTTTGTTTTTTCCGCGGCCGCAGTAGGATTACCCCGTGAACGCCAGTGGGCTCAGGCGTTCACGAAGACGAAGAAGCAGACGACAAGGCGATTCTAAAGCGATAAGACGACTGAAACTGCTTTTCTGCACTTGCTGAGGAAAGTGAGGCATCACAAACAACACAATCTTATGAAGTAAAAACATGCAAGAGAATCAAGGTGATACCGGGGCGTGCCAAATGATAATCTATGATGATGTACGTACGCTCAGCCGTATGTAGCCGGGAAGCCGGGAAGGGATGACTACAAGTAGCGTGGCGGCGGCACCACTTCCGGAATGCGCGCGCCTGCGCAGTTCGCTTGGTGACATCGGTCTATTGACCGGCATCTTGTCAAGAACAAACATCGAACGCCAACCTATGTCGAAAGTGTTCACTTCGGTACGCGCTATTTTAGGCCAGATCTGATCTGAGCACGA